TGCGAATTTTTTCTAAGCTCTATACTAAACATTAAATCTGTTACGAAAAAAGAAATAAACAAAATGAACACAAAACGATCAGCTTTAAAAAAAAGGACTCGTAACTGGAAAAACCGAATGAAAAAAGAATGTTAACAACAAATACTTTTTCACGCCCAATCCAGTTCTGGGGAATCAGAATCAACGTTGATTTTAAGCAAGTGAATGAGCGAATTGGAGTAAAGTGCCATGCAGATTTAAATATTTCCCACTTGTGACGAATGCAGCTCTCGATTTTTTTTTGCATGCTAGCATTCTAGTTAACATTTGTCTCAGTCAGCTGTTGGCTCTCATGCTGGCCAATAGAATCTTGCTACCTATTCGTGGCAGCCAGCTAATGGCCGAAAACTACATGAAAACTGCCGTAGAAGCATAAAAAATCGATTATTTCCACTATCGATGGGAGTTGGGAAATGCAAAGTCGGTCTTGGTCTTACCGCTAACTTGGAGCATGTGCATGTAAACTTTGGTGCAAATCCGTCGAAAATTGCGGCCGTGCATTCGTTACACACACACACACACACACACACACACACACACACACACACACACACACACACACACATCCAGCCTTTTATAGATAGAGATAATAACTTAAAAGAGACTGTTTGACCAAGTGAGCCAGACAAACCTACCTAGGTAGGTTTGTCTGGCTCACTAGGTCCTATCTATCTATCTATCTATCTATCTATATATATATATATATATATATATATATATATATATGTATAACTGATTCCCCATTTAATGTTCTATAGATTCATTTATTTGTTTACATCATCATCAAAACTGTTTCGATTTGAGGTCATCAATTAACCTGTTCTATCATCTTCAGTGTCATTGTATACTGATTCGGCAATATTTTGCCCGCTTCCTTTGGCCCCTGCGAGTTTGCGGTTTCGTTGCAGATCTTCCTTAATTGCAAACTTCTCGAAAGGAAAAGTGAGACCTTTCTGCCTCGTTCTTTGAATGCCTCGGGTCAATGTTGTGACTATGGTGGTTCTTGGATGACCTCTGAACTTTTTGAAGCCAGTCTTTTCAAAGCAAAACTCCATGGCTGTGTTGACTAGGTATTCTGGATCCATTCTGTTTGTTGATATTCGTATCTTTTAACTTAATCAATGAACTGTATTACAGACACACGGTCTGATACTTTCCATCATCGATGTACATTATTCATCAATTTACTGTTAACGACAAATCCGTTTCCATAATGCTTGCATTCTGTCTCTAAACATATCTGCTGGTGTTTGTTTTTGCCTATGTTACTGTTCAAACAGGCCCACATTTTCATTTTCCGAATATTGTTTTTATGTAACGTCTTAAATAAGAAGTTACTGCTTCGCCATTACCTTCTCCACCAAACCACGACATATTTTGTTAATAGTGACCATGACATATTTTTTAAGTCTTTACTATTATAAGTAAGTTTTCACATTTGTCTTTTTAATATTTTTTTCGGTGGAGTGTGGCATTTCTTTATTTCGCAAAGATATTTTACTTTACACGTTTCCATCGAACACTCTATGGTTATCATAACAAATGCACTGCCACCTGGCGTCGCCAATGTACAGATGCTAAATCTCTATTGTACTCGAGCCGACATTACAATTGGTGTATTATTTAGTAATACATTTCTATATTATCATATTAACGCTTATTTTAGAGTGCACGTACGTTAAGCAGACATGTTTTATAAATTAAGCAGAGTTGAGATGCTATACTATAAATGAGACACGTCCCCTGTGATGGCGTTAGCTTCGTAAATTTACAAAATTAAAAAAAAGAAAAAAAGTTTCGTGGAATCTAAGAGGCTCAAGTAAATTAGAATTTTATTTATCAGAAATAAAATCTAGAATCCCACAAGTTCTTTGGGCAGAAAAGTTATGAGGAACTAGAAGCTGTTCTGGAAAAAATAAGCCGATCTGGGATTTTGAGACGCAGACAGATCATCCTTTTCTACTAGGAATATCAGTCGTAATCCTGATTGACGAAGGAAAGGCCTGTCAGACATTGGATTAAGCCATCCCAACTGAGCTTAGGGTCAGTGGAAAATGAAATGAATAAATAACAGCCAAAAAAAAAAAAAAAAAATGCCGAAAACCGTTCATGAGAAAGAATTAAGATATTATAAAAGATAATAAGAAAATTTTGGCAGACAAAGAACGTTGACTACCCGTGATGATAATAATGGCGTCTTTCCTTCCGATCATAGCGGTACGTGTTAATGCCAATAAGAAGGATAGAATTTCGGATACTGATACATTATAGCAAGTAGACACTGACTTCTTAAAATATAGGGACTATTTCTTGTTTTCTTGTGATTTATGAAGAAAACGGAAAGGGCTTACGGCCATATCTCGTTGAAACACCAGTTCTCATTCGATCACCGAATTTAGGCAATATCGAACCTGGTCAGAACCTGGATGGATGATCGCCTGGAAATACCAGGTGATGTAAGCTTGGATGTGCAGGTGGTGTAATGGAGAATGGCTCCGAATCGGTGAACCGAGTTCAAATTCCCGTTGGTTTTGGTATATTTACTTACGGGAAAGATATGAACCCAACTCTCTCCCACCAGCCATGGGTTAATTAGTGAAACTTGTATTGCTAAATCATTATCATCTAAAAACAATTCTTACAATTTAGAAATATTTTCTGGCTTTAAATAAATCTCCATCTTCTGTCTACCTTTTGTCCGTTCCTCAAACCTCCCTAATCTCAGTGTTCCCTGTCACATTCACTCCCTGTAACCCCCACCCCTGCGTATTATTGGCATCCCCGCCTTGCTTAGGATGAAATGATTTAAAAAAAAAAAGAAAAAAAAAAGAATTGCGACATAACGATTGTCATTAAACTTGTATTTTTGAAGATCAACGCCAGAAGAGTGTTCCACAAGCGAGAAGTGCGAGACAAAAAATATTTAATATCTGTCTATATTTCTTAGAAGAGATATTATAATTATCGATGTTGTTCGTGCTGTTCACCTCATCTTTACTGCAATATTCACGACGTTTCGGTCGTTGTATGCCATGGACTTCTTCAGCTGATTGAAATTTGGAACCGAACCCTGTATTTCGTCCTCTGGGGTAGATTGTTCTAGATGCACGCGCCATGCCTCTTCTGGATGTCTCAGTTATCTAACTTTAATTTAACTCTCCAAAATTTGTCCAACTGTATTAGGCCGGTATTGAAGTCACAATTCTTTGGATTCAACCAAAAATTTTATCCACTGGGTCACTTGAAACGTCGTGAATATGGCAATGAAGATGAGGACAACAGTCTGAACAATATAAATAAGGAAAATAGTTACAGTGGCTCATCTCAGCCATATAAGCAGATATAAAAAGATGAAGAACACAGTTCGAACAATATGAATAGTGCAAAGAGTTACAATACTTCAGCTCAGAAATACAGATAGATATTGAAGCTGAATATGGCAATAAATATTAGGACAACACTAACACTTCGAACAAGGTAAATAATGTAAATAATGACAATACCTCATCTCAGATATATAGGGCGATCTGGAGGATGACCGGAACGTACAACGGCCGAAACGTCGAGAATCTTACTAATTATAAAACGCAGGTTGTGTGTGTGTCTGTACGTTTATATATTGGATAGGATTTCCTACATTTTTCAACCGATTTCAACAAAACTTCACAGGACTACGTAAAATTACGTTGCGGTGGTTCTAACAGCGCCAAAAATTAGAAAAATACAATTGTTCTTGCACGAAATCAATTTGAAAACACGATAAAGCACGGTTCTGTCGCCAGAATGGAAGGGGGACAATTCATATCAAGTTATACTTATTATAAAACCAAGGCTGTTTGTGTGTGTGTGTGTTCGTTTATATATGGGATCGGATTTCCTACATTTTTCAACCGATTTAAACAAAACTTCACTTTTTTTTTGGCAGGTAGTGTTTCTTATTATCTTGCACACATTTTTCTTTATTTTTACATTCTGAATGCTTTAAAAATTCCATTTAAAAGACAATTGTTTATAATAAAATTCTATTCAATCGATAGACCCATAATGATTGAAAACAATGTTTTTATTTGGGTTTGGGTTTGACCAATTCGTAAAAATAAACAAAAACTAATTAAGAAATGCGTGTCCGTCAACCTTAAACAATAGTCATTTTTATTTTTCAGTCTTTATGATGGTCGATACTTGATCTATCTCTTTTACTGTTACATCCCCGGGCAACGCCGGGCTCTACTGCTAGTATGGCAATAAAGATAAGAAGATAAGAAGAACATTTCGAATAATGTAATTTATGTAAATAAAAAACATTCAGTGTATAATTTATGGTTGTATCCCGCCATTTCATCACTAAAATGTTTAGGCACACATACTTGTACGCTTAATTTGGTAAATTTCATGTTCGAAAGAGAAAAAGCTCATACAAAGGATTTCCATGAATATATTTATAGTAAAAGCACACGGGAGATACGTCAAGGCGTTGGGAAAGTGACTGAAGCCGAGATCCCAGATCAGGACCAATAATATTACAAAATCTTTTTTGGAATTTATTAAGAATCTCTGTTTACAGGGTAAGAAAAAAGTGGCGCACTAAAGTTATAGTGATTTTAAAAGCGTAGCTTAGATGTGGCACAGGGCCGAAATATGGGAAACCCAGTGAGGATCGAACTCACTACTCAGTCCTATTTGTTCTAGCGAGATAAGCTTGCTAACCATTACACCATCCCGAGGTGCCCCAAATTTATTAAATATATAATTACACTTGAAAATGTTCTTGATATGTCCCGGAAATTGATATATTTGATTGAAGAAGCAAAGTGGGTTTGGCTACTGTAACAAGTAGTACACGGTAGCAGTAATCGACTGGTACTCTTCGTATTCGCAGGTAATAGGTGTAGACCAATAGAATAGCCAATGGCGTAGTCCAATGGGCGTCGTCATAGACTTAAACTCTGTCGTACCTACACGTCCGTCTATATTTATGACGGACATCAGCCAATCATATTCGATCGAGGGGGAACATAGGTGCATGCATATTCCATTATATTAGTTGTTTACTAGTTTTTTGTTCCATGCAGTATTCAAAATGCCCTCCTTTGAAAACACATTTAAATCTGTGCCTGCATGATTCATTAACATGTCAGAGAGTTTTCTCTGCCATTTTACTGCATTCATATTTAATTCTTTCTTTAAGTTCCTCAATTTTTCTTAGAAGTGTCTAATAAAGAACTGAATTCAAATGGCCCCACCGAAAAAGAAAATACGTGTGTGATGTCTGTTGGCCTCGGTGGCCACTCAACAGGACCTCTTTGACATTAACCCCTATGGTGCGCGACATTTGCCTCAAACTTTGCAAAAGCCCCAGACCAGGTGTGACAGAAATATATAATGCATGGACGAGGGTTAAAGAAACTGTAAAAAAATAGGGATTAAGAAGATAATGACTGAGATCGCATTTAAAACTTTGAAGATAAAAGTTGACTGGGAAGCAAGAGGCCAAAAGAGAGTTACACAAGCGAGAATTGTGAGAGAAAAAATAAACTGTTAGCTGTGAACTTACTGATACATCTAGCAATTTCAACTGTAAAATGATGAGATCTTGACACCAATTTAGTCTTTTCTTTTTATGTTTCAGGACGTAAGCAATCATGACATTTCACTGCCCAGTATCCATTGTAGCTCTCAGTAAGTTTCGTCCATTTACCTCTTTCCCCAGACCATGTTCTGTCCTCCAATTGCTTAATTCTGCCAGGTATATCATCCATTGATTTCCCTTGTCTCTCTTTCCCTCTATTTGACCTGTGAGTATCAGATTTTCCTTCTTTGTCAAAGCACATTTTAATTCTGTGCATGCATGATTCATGAACACGTCAGAGAGTTTCGCCTGTCATTTTATTACATACATATTTCTTCAAGTTCCTCAGTTTGTGTCTGATATAGAAATAAATTCAAATGACCCCACAGGAAAAAATACAAGTGTGTGTGATGCCTACTGGCCTGCTTCGACATATTCAATAACCCCTATTATTCATGACTTTTGCCTCACCCTGTACAGAGCTGAAGACTCAGACCAGATGTGACAGAAATATTTAATACATGGATGGGAATTAAACAAAGAATAATGGAAAATAATTTTTAAAAAATGAGGATTAAGAAAATAATGATTGAGATTACATTTAAACTTTGGAAGATTAAAGTTGACTGGTAAGCAAGAAGCCAGAGGAGTGTTCCACAAGCGAGAAGTGCTAGAAAATAAAATTATAGCAGTGAAATTACTGATACATCTAGCGATTTCAACTGGAAAAGTTTATCATATGATGAGATCTTGCCACCAATCTATTCTATAATATTGTAGAAGCCTCGATGACTTAGGACGTAGGCAATCGTGGCTCTCCACTAGTTCCGATCCATTATGTCCTCAATAAGTTTCGTCCTTCCGCCACCTTTCCTAGACCATGTTCTGTCATCCAGTTACTTAAGCCTGCCAGGGATATCATGCGTTGCTTTTCGTTGTCTCTCTTTCCCTCTATTCGACCTGTGAGTATCAGATTCTCCTTCAAAACCCACTTCAGTTATTACATTCAGGTTTTCAAGTACTTCAATTTGTGTCTGATATAGAAATGAATTCAAATGGCACCACAAAAAAAAAAATTACAAGTGTAAGATGTCCAGTGCCCTCGATGGCCACTCAACGGGAGCGCTTCGACATATTCATTAACCCCTATGTGCGTGAATTTTGCGTCACCCTGTACAGAGCTGAAGCCTCAAACCAGATGTGACAGAAATATACAATGCATGGACGGGTGTTAAATAAACAAGAAGACTATAAAAAAAAGGGATTAAGAAGATAATGCGATCGCATTTAAATTTTTGAAGATTAAAGTTGACTGGTAAGCAAGAAGCCAGAAGAGATTTCAACAAGCGAGAAGTGTGAGAAAATAAAATTTTACCAGCGAAATTGCTGATACATCTAGCGATTTCAACTGTAAAATGATGAGATCTTGCCAGCAATTTAGTATAGCTCTTAAATACATTAAGTCTAGGTAGCAAAATTGAAAGTAATATTTATTTTGAATAGTACAAAAATGTGGCACAAGGTCATCAGGAAAACAGAAGACGACTGGTCTTCAATCTGTCTTAACTTAGGTAAACGATTACTGATGCAAGCATCCACAGTTTTCCTTACACCTAAAGAGCACGTTCTTAGTTACCATTCTTATTACAGTAACCATAATATCCCAAAATCTCTATGAAAGTGGAAAATTCTTCGGAATAATTGCCGTAAAAGTATTTATAGAAAAAGGTAAGTTATGGTAGAGGGAATGAGACTGAAGCCAAGATGCCATAAATAACATTGTAGAAGCCCCGATGACAAGCTTGATAAATTTTCACAATACATCCATATTTAAATACCTGAATAATTATATTAATGTCGATGTAAAGATGTATTGCACCCATGGGTAGATT